AAAACACAAACAGGTTGTACGTGTAAAAATACAATCTCAGATTATGTTACTCATTCACATTCTGACTGCAGGCTACACATGTAGGTGTCAACAGAGTCATACTGCTCAACACTATATTCTGGCATGGTAGTGTCACAGATAAAAGCACAGTGACTAGCTTACCGTGGCCTAGTCTGTGACTTAGGTAAGAGGGAATGAGGGGGACTTTGAGCATATACAGTTAGGTCCATATATATTTGGACACAGGCACAATTTTAGTTTTTTTCAGGTATTGACCAAAACATTTTAAGCTATAGTTATATAATGGATATGGTCTGAAAGTGCACACTTTCAGGTTTAATTTGAGGGTATGTACATCCAAATTGGAGGAAGGGTTTAGGAATTACAGCTCTTAAGATTAGCCATCCCCCCTTTTTCAAGGGACCAAAACTAATTGGACAATTTAATCAAAAGCTGTTTCATGGTCAGGTGTGAGCTACTCCATTATTTCTTCATTAATTAAGCAAGGTCTGGTGTTGATTCTACGTGTGGTATTTGCATTTGGAACTTACATCATACATCAAAATACAGAGGGTTCACCACAAGGTGCAAACCATTCATAAGCCTGAAGAATAGAAAAGCCAGATTAGACTTTGCCAAAACACATCTAAAAAAAACCAGACCAGTTCTGAAAAAGCATTCTTTAGATGGATGAAACTAAGATTAATCTGTACCAGAATGACGGGAAGAAAAAAGTGTGGAGAAGGCTTGGAACAGCTCATGATCCAAAGCACACAATGTCATCTGTAAAACATGGTGGAGGCAGTGTGATGGCATGGGCATGCATAGCTTCCAGTGGCACCAGGTCATTGGGGTTTATTGATGATGTGACAGAAGACAGAAGCAGCCAGATAAATTCTGCAGTGTTGATAGATATCTGTCAGCCCAGATTCAGCTAAAATGCAGCAAAGTTGATTGGACAGCTCTTCACAGTAGAGATGGGCAATGATCTAAAACACACTGCAAAAGCAACCCAGGAGCTTTTGAAGGAAAAGAAGTGGAATATTCTGCAATGGCCGAGTCAATCACCTGATCTCAGCCCAATTGAGCATACATTTCACTTGCTGAAGGCAAAACTAAAGGCAGAAAAATCCACAAACAAAGAACAACTGAAGACAGCTGCAGTTACAGCCTGGTAAAGCATCAGAAAGGAGGAAACCCAGTTTTGGTAATGTCCATGGGTTCCAGACTTCAGGCAGTCATTGCCAGTAAAAGATTCTCAGCAAAATATTTTTTGTTTATGATTATATTTAGAGATGAGCGAATTATTCAAAATTCGATTCGGCTGATTCGCCGAATTTGAGGAAGAAATTCGATTCGATGCGAATTTATTCGCTACGAATTTAACTTATAAAAAGGGTTTCTAGGCTTCAGAGAGCCTTTAAATTAGTGCAGAACACTGTACCTTTAATTTAAATGCCCTTGGAGATGAGGAAGGAGAAGGAGAAGGATGAGAAGAAGGAGAAGGAGAAGGATGAGAAGAAGGAGAAGGAGAAGGATGAGAAGAAGGAGAAGGATGAGAAGAAGGAGAAGGATGAGAAGAAGGAGAAGGATGAGAAGAAGGAGAAGGATGAGAAGAAGGAGAAAGGATGAGAAGAAGGAGAAGGAGAAGGATGAGAAGAAGGAGAAGGATGAGAAGAAGGAGAAGGATGAGAAGAAGGAGAAGGAGAAGGAGAAGAAGGAGAAGGATGAGAAGAAGGATGAGAAGAAGGATGAGAAGAAGGAGAAGGATGAGAAGAAGAAGAAGGATGAGAAGAAGGAGAAGGATGAGAAGAAGGAGAAGGATGAGAAGAAGAAGAAGGAAGGAGAATTCCAAGCCGGCAAAAAGTGTATCTGCAGAGCTCCGCTATTTCTTAGCGAGCTCTGCAGATACACTTAGCGGAGCTCTGCAGATACACTTTTTGCCGGCTTGGAATTCTTCTTATTTTCATCCTACTTCTTTCTTCTTCTTCTTCCTCTTCATTCAGAAGAAGAGAAGATGATGAGAAAGGATGAGAAGAGAGAAGATGAAGAAGAAGAAGTAGGATAAAATAAGAAGAATTCCAAGCCGGCAAAAAGTGTATCTGCAGAGCTCCGCTAAGTGTATCTGCAGAGCTCCTCTATTTCTGACAGTTCTCTGACATTCACATTTACAGAAAATAAGAAGAATTCCAAGCCGGCAAAAAGTGTATCTGCAGAGCTCCTCTATTCTGCAGATACACTTAGAGGAGCTCTGCAGATACACTTTTTGCCGGCTTGGAATTCTTCTTATTTTCATCCTACTTCTTCTTCTTCTTCTTCATCTCATCCTCATCCTCAGAAGAAGAAGAAGAAGAAGGATGAGGATGAGGATGAAGAAGAAGAAGAAGTAGGATGAAAATAAGAAGAATTCCAAGCCGGCAAAAAGTGTATCTGCAGAGCTCCGCTAAGTGTATCTGCAGAGCTCCGCTATTTCTGACAGTTCTCTGACATTCACTCCATACAGCGGTTGAAACATTGTATCTATTTGTTTCCATAAATGGAAACAAATAGATACAATGTTTCAACCGCTGTATGGAGTGAATGTCAGAGAACTGTCAGAAATAGGCTATTTCTGACAGTTCTCTGACAAAGAAGAAGAATGAAAAGAAGAAGAAGAAGAAGAAGAATGAAAAGAAGAATGAAAAGAAGAAGAAGAATGAAAAGAAGAAGAAGAAGAAGAATGAAAAGAAGAATGAGAAGAATGAAAAGATTCTTCTTCTTTTCATTCTTCTTTTCATTCTTCTTCTTCTTCTTTTCATTCTTCTTTTCATTCTTCTCATTCTTCTTTTCATTCTTCTCATTCTTTCTTTCTTTTTTCTTTTCATTCTTCTTCTCATTCTTCTTTTCATTCTTCTCATTCTTCTTTTCATTCTTCTTTTCATTCTTCTTCTTTTCATTCTTCTTTTCATTCTTCTTCATTCTTCTTTCTTCTTTTCATTCTTCTTCTTCTTCTTCTTCTCATTCTTCTTTTTCATTCTTCTCATTCTTCTCTTCATTCTTCTTCTCATTCTTCTTTTCATTCTTCTTCTCATTCTTCTCATTTTCATTCTTCTCATTCTTCTTTCTTCTTTTCATTCTTCTTCTCATTCTTCTTTTCATTCTTCTTCTTCTCTCATTCTTCTTTTCATTCTTCTTCTCATTCTTCTTTTTCATTCTTCTTTTCATTCTTCTTCTCATTCTTCTTCTTCATTTCTTCTTTCTCATTCTTCTTTTCATTTCATTTCATTCAGAAGAATGAGAAGAAGAATGAAAAGAAGAATGAAAAGAAGAATGAAAAATGAAAAGAAGAATGAAAAGAAGAAGAAGAAGAATGAAAAGAAGAATGAAAAGAAGAATGAAAAGAAGAAGAAGAAGAATGAAAAGAAGAAGAAGAAGAATGAAAAGAAGAAGAAGAATGAAAAGAAGAATGAAAAGAAGAAGAAGAAGAATGAAAAAGAAGAAGAATGAAAAGAAGAAGAATGAAAAGAAGAAGAAAGAAGAAGAATGAAAAGAAGAAGAATGAAAAGAAGAAGAAGAAGAATGAAAAGAAGAATGAGAAGAATGAAAAGAAGAAGAAGAATGAAAAGAAGAATAAGAAGAATGAAAAGAAGAATGAAAAGAAGAAGAAGAATGAAAAGAAGAAGAAGAATGAAAAGAAGAATGAGAAGAATGAAAATATTCTTCTTCTTTTCATTCTTCTTTTCATTCTTTCTTCTTTTCATTCTTCTTCTTCTTCTTCTTTTCATTCTTCTTCTTCATTTCTTCTTTTCATTCTTCTCATTCTTCTTCTCATTCTTCTTTTCATTCTTCTTTTCATTCTTCTCATTCTTCTTTTCATGAAGAAGAAAAGAAGAATGAGAAGAATGAAAAGAAGAATGAAAAGAAGAAGAAGAATGAAAAGAAGAATGAGAAGAAGAATAAAAAGAAGAATGAAAAGAAGAATGAGAAGAATGAAAAGAAGAATGAAAAGAAGAAGTATTCCAGTACAGCAAAAAGTGTATCTGCAGAGAGCTCCGCTATTTCTGACAGTTCTCTGACAGTTCCTTCACATTTACAGCGGTTGAAACATTGTATCTGTTTCCAAATAAAAACATCTGTATCCTAAATGGAAACAAATAGATACAATGTTTCAACCGCTGTACATGTGAAGGAACTGTCAGAGAACTGTCAGAAATAGCGGAGCTCTCTGCAGGGACACTTTTGCCGGCTGATCGGGAAAAATCCGATTCGCGCACCCGAATTATGCTAATATTCGGATTCGACGCGAATCGAATTTTTCCTGAAATTCGAAACTAATTCCACTTCGCCTGGTTCGATTCGCTCATCTCTAATTATATTCAACTGTCCAATTACTTTTGGTCCCTTGAAAAAGCGGGGATGGCTACTCTTAAGAGCTGTAATTCCTAAACCCTTCCTCCAAGTTGGATGTCCATAACCTCAAATTAAACCTGAGAGTGTGCACTTTCAGCCCATATCCAGTCTATAATTATAGCTTGAATATGCTTTGGTAAATAGCTGAAAAAAGGAAAATTGTGCCTGTGTCCAAATATATATAGACCTAACTGTAAGACTGGCTGTGATACACTTTCACAGCCCGCACTACCTCTGGCCACCACTAGAGAGAGACTCCACTCCAATCTAGCTGGCTGACCACATACAGGCAGATACAAATCTTATATACCATCTGTTGAACTCTAAGGGTTGGGGAGCAGTCTAGCAACTGGCAGACCCTTCAAGGATTCCTCCAGCTATCTTACAAGCTAGAACTCCAGTGTTAATCACTCTTGTACTGTCCACACACCCCCCACACCAGACACTAAACAAACGGTAGCTTGCCACCACCAAACAATTTGTCTGCATACTGCTCTGCTGGGCCACCACAGACACACAGATCTCCATCTGGCATATCTGCTACCCCACATGGAAGAAAAATATGTCTGAAATATATTTAAAAAATATTTTTTCCCCAAATATGTCATATTTGAAATCAGGGCTTGAAATTTCCAGTCGCCTGCTTGCCAATGGCGAGTGGAAATTATGGTGGGGGCAAGTGTGTCCCCCTGGGCCGTCTTGCTGAGCAGCCTCGGAGCTCAGGCCGGATCTGTCATTGGCACTGGGAGCCGTCAGACTGCTCAATAGCTGAGCACAGTGAAAGCAAAGGAAGGAGTGTGTGCTCTCTGCCTCCCCCTAGAGTGAAGTACCCAGCTCAGTGAGTGAACAAAGAAGTACTGCAACTTTTTATGGTGTGTGTGCGTATGTGTGTGCATGTGTGTGTGTTTGTGTGTGTGTACATGTGTGTGTGTTTGTGTGTGTGTGTGTATGCATGTGCATGTGTCTGTGTGTATGTACATGTGTCTGTGTGTGTGCATGTACGTGTGTGTGTGTGTTTGTGTGTATGTATGTACATGTGTCTGTGTGTACATGTGTCTGTGTGTGTGCATGTACGTGTGTGTGTGTTTGTGTGTATGTATGTACATGTGTCTGTGTGTACATGTGTCTGTGTGTATGTACATGTGTCTGTGCATGTGTATTTCTGTGTGTATGTACATGTATCTGTGTATATGTGTGTCTGTACGTGCCTGTGTGTGTATACTTGTGTCTGTATGTGTGGGGTGTGTGTGTGTACATGTGTCTCTGTGCGTGTGTGTACATGTTTCTTTGTGTGTATGTGTATGTACATGTCTGTGTGTGTGTGTACAGGTGTTTCTGTTTGTGTGTGTTTGTTGGTGACGAGTAACTCTTAAGGCCTGGCTAATAGCTCAGTACTTGAAATTTTAAGCCCTGTTTGAAATGATACAATTTTGGCAATATTCAATATATTTCAATAAATATATATATAATCAGTGAGGAACAGAAGTATTTGAAAACCCTGAAAAAGTTTGCAAGTTCTCCCACTTAGAAATCATGGAGGGGTCTGAAATTCATATTGTAGGTGCATTCCCACTCTGAGAGACAGAATTAAAAAAAAAAATTCAGGAAATCACATTGTATGATTTTTAAAGAATTTATTTGACTTGCACTGCTGAACATAAGTATTTGAACACCTGAGAAAATCAGTGTTAATATTTGGTACAGAAACCTTTGTTTGCAATTACAGAGGTCAAACGTTTCCTGTAGTTCTTGACCAGGTTTGCACACACTGCAACAGGGATTTTGGCCCACTCCTCCACACAGATCTCCTCTAGATCTGTCAGGTTTCGGGGCTGTCGCTGAGCAACACGGAGTTTCAGCTCCCTCCAAAGATGTTCTATTGGATTTAGGTCTGGAGACTGGCTAGGCCACTCCACAACCTTGATATGCTTCTTATGGAGCCACTCCTTGGTTATCCTGGCTGTGTGCTTCAGGTCGTTGTCATGTTGGAAGACCCAGCCACGACCCATCTTCAATACTCTGACTGAGGGAAGAAGGTTGTTGCTCAAAATCTCACAATAAATGGCCCCATTCATCCTCTCTTTAATACAGTGCAGTCGCCTTGTCCCCTTCACAGAAAAGCACCCCCCAAAGCATGATGTTACCACCCCCATGCTTCACAGTAGGAATGGTGTTCTTGGGATGCAACTCATCCTTTTTCCTCCAAACACGACGAGTGAAGTTTAGACCAAAAAGTTCTATTTTGGTCTCATCTGACCACATGACTTTCTCCCATACCTCCTCTGGATCATCCAGATGGTCATTGGCAAACTTCAGACTGGCCTGGACATGTGATGACTTGAGCAGGGGAACCTTCCGTGCAATGCATGATTTGAAACCATGACGGCGTAGTGTTCTACCGAGAGTGACCTATGAAACTGTGATCCCAGCTCTCTTCATGTCATTGACCAGCTCCCCCCTTGTAGTTCTTGGCTGATTCCTCACCTTTCTTATCATCAGTGATACCCCACGAGGTGAGATCTTGCATGGAGCCCCAGTCCGAGGGAGACTAACAGTCGTCTTTAGCCTCTTCCATTTTCTAACAATTGCTCCAACAGTTGATATATTTTCACCACCAAGCTGCTTGGCAATTGCCCCATAGCCCTTTCCAGCCTTGTGGATGTCCACAATTTTGTCTCTGGTGTCTTTTGACAGCTCTTTGGCCTTGCCCATGGTAGTAGTTGGCATCTGACTGACTGTGGGGTGGACAGGTGTCTTTAAAGAGCTCAAACAGGTACTACTAAGTTAGATTAATGAGTGGAGTAGAGGTGGACTTTTTAAAGGCACAGTAACAGGTCTTTGAGAGCCAGAATTCTTGCCGTTTCTTAGGTGTTCAAATACTTACAGTATGTTCAGCAGTGCAAGACAAATAAATTCTTTAAAAATCATACAATGTGATTTCCTGAATTTTTTTTTAATTCTGTCTCTCAGAGTGGGAATGCACCTACAATGTGAATTTCAGACCCCTCCATGATTTCTAAGTGGGAGAACTTGCAAAATCGCAGGGTTTTCAAATACTTCTGTTCCTCACTGATTATATATATATTTATTGAAATATACTGTATATATACTGCATGTTGAAATACGATTTTATTATACTGTATATATACTGCATGTTGAAATACGATTTTATTACAAAATATATGAAAAATATTTTTTTAAATACATACATTGTATGTCTTTAAAAATGCAAATCTACATTTTTGGAATGCATTTACAAATATATGTAAAATATATGTTAAAATGACTTTTTTATATGTTAAAAAAATGTGAAGTATATATTTTAAAAAAATATATATTTTTAAAAATATTTTTTAAATATATTCTTTAGATTTTTTTTAACATATGAAAAAGTAATTTTAACATATATTTTTACATATATTTGTAAATGCATTCCAAAAATGAAGATTTGTATTTTTAAAGGCATACAGTATATTTGAAATGTATTTTTAAAAATATTTTTTATATATTTTTGTAATTAAAATGCATTTCAACATGCAGTATGAATTTGCAAATCTCTCATGCGTTGGTCGGGACCGAGGCAATGGTATGTCTGGATATAGCCAAAGCGCTTGACTCGGTATATTGGGGCTATATGTACTTAGTGCTTGGAAAACATGGGTTTTGGGCCTAATTACTGTTAATGAGTCTCCTTACTATGAAGTAGACCTAGGATGGCTCTTAAAATAGGGTCCTCTATCTATCTTCTTTGATATTGGCAGGGGCACCAGGCTCCTTTCACCCTGTTTTCCTTAATGATAGAACCATTGTCTGTGATGTTGCATTCTTCCCCTCAGGTTGGTGCATTGTAGGTGGGTTCCATTAAAGAATGTTTGGCGTTGAGCGCAGATGGTCTACTGCTATTTTCAAAAGATCCTGGCCCATCTCTTTGAGCGGTTTTCCATATCCTAGACAAAGTTGCTGTTTTCTCTGGCCTTTGAGTGAATTGGAACAAATCAACCATCTTACCACTGGACTTGGGAACCTGACCTGTGGCGGACTGTAATCTGCAGCTCCAGTGGGTTTCACAATTTACTTATCTAGGCTTCCGTGTTTCAGCCAGGGTCATGGATTACTTTTCATTAAATTTGCAGCTGCTATTAGACTTTTAGAAGAGGAAAACAGGTGTGGTGGAGTCTCCCTTTCACAGTGATGGGGAGCATTAACCTCCTCAAGATGAAGGTCTTCCTAGTTTTTTTGTATTTTCTTTGCAACTCACCTGTATGGGTCCAGTATTACTTCTTTCGTCAGGTCCACGGCCTATTTGTTTCCTTCATTCAGGGCCTCTCTCCTCCACAGATTGCCCTCAGGGATCTTCAGGAGCCATGGGGGCAGGGGGGGGTCTGGCTCTCTCAGATATTTACAGTATAAATATTTTTTGGCATGGCAGGGAGTCTTTGCGCGTAGGTGGCTTCTGGGAGATGATGGGGATTCAGCTGCAGTATTGGAGCCACGGTATTGGGATCCTAAGACAATTTGCAACTCCTTCTGTACAGGGGCTCTGGAGCAGAAATTCAGCAAAAAATATATAGTAAACTCAATGGCATCGGGAAAATTCCTCTCATGCAGCCAGCTAACTGCATCTGTGTTGGGGGTTTAGGCCAAATCACCTTCTGGATACAAAAGGACCATGATGATCTCTTCCTGGAATTTTAGGAAGGATCCACTTTGTCCAATTGCTTTGTATAGCACAAAAGCATTATATAGAGCCAACTGAAATAAATAAACAGACACTTCTTTGTACCAGCGTTTTGCTTTTTGGGAAACTAAGTACGGCTTCATCATCTGGTCGTTGAAGGCCACTACCTCCCATGTTAAGGTTATAGTCATGGACACGGAGGGGCTTCTCAACAACACCAGCTGCCGTGGCAGTTTGGATGGTCATGTCTGCGTGAATGGAAGACAGAACGAAAACATCCTGTTTGGCCTTTCACTTCACCGCAAGCAATTCCTCATTTCTCAAGCAGGCTTTTTTTCCCTTTTTAAGACAGGTATTTACAAACTGTTGGGGGAAGCCACATGCGCCAATTCCAAGATTGTACAAATGTCTTAATAGTGGCACGCTTGAATAAAAATTGTCCACGTATTAGTGGTACCCCATATGGAAAAAGGATGACACAAAGTCCCAAACTATCTTGCCACTGTTCCCCATGTAGTCTGGGCATCCGGGGGCTCAACATGACTATCTTTTCCCTCATAAATCCAAAACTTATATGTATAGCCTTTTGCCCTCTCACAGGTCTTATACACTTTGACCCCATATCTGGCACGCTTGCTGGGGAGAAATTGTTTGAATGCAAGGCGGCCGTAAAAATGAATGAGGGACTCATCAACGCAGATGTTTTGCTGGGGAGTATAGACAACTGCAAACTTTTGGTTAAGGTGATCTATGAGGGGCCAAATTTTGTGGATCCGGTCAAATTCAGGGTCACCCCGAGGATGACAGAATGTATTGTTATTGAAATGCATAAAACGCATTATATTCTCATATCTATGCCTGGCCATAGCAGCAGAGAACATGGGCATATAATGAATCAGGTCTGTGGACCAATATAACCGCAATTCATTTTTTTTAATAATGCCCATGTTGAGGGTTAGGCCCAAAAAAACTTTAAATTCAGAAACCGTAATGGGTTTCCATGAGAGTGGTCTGGCAAGGTTTGAATTTGAGTTGGCGGCGATAAACTGTTGTCCATATAAATTGCTTTGATCCACAATCAATGCATACAGATCTTCTGTGAAAAACAGCTCTAAAAAATCAAGAGAAGAATTTAAATTTGCTGTTTCCACCTGAATTCTGGGTTGGGCAGTGAATGGTGGAAGTACGGGTGCTGCCGAATTTGTGGGCTGCCAATCGGGATTTTTAAGCACATCCGGAAGGATACTAGGGGTTCTACAGGCCTGTGTGCGAACTCTTGGTGGCTGCGGGACACTACTTGTACTGGCCACCACACCAGCTTATACTCGCTCATCAAGTCATACTGCAGTACTGGTATGTATAAGACCAGGATGT